CGTTGTGAAGAAGTTGGCGGTTTCCATGTGAGATGGTGACGTTTCTTGTGTGAGAAGTTCGTGTTTCACAGGAACAATCCGTGGTCCGCGCCGAGTTGAAGTAGGCGATCTCCGTTGTCCGTCCGGTTGGCTGAGATTGCATNCCTGCGCCAGGGTCCGACGTTATTTTTTATTGATATTGGCATGACTTCCTTGATTTGCTTCCAGTGTTCATTGAGTACTTCCATTGGTGGTTGAACTGATAGGCGATCGGAGAGCTCGCTTCGAAAGCCGATCTGCAACCATCGCGGGTATCCGTTGTCGGTGGCTTTTCTACGGTTTTTTTGCCAGGCGTAGAGAGAATTTGGCGTGGTCTGTATCCACAGCTGTTGACTAGTAAGAGCGGCAGTCTTGAATTGATCCCCTCTAGCGGTAACTGATAGCGATGTGGTCGATGTGGGTCCAGCGTTGTGAAGAAGTTGGCGGTTTCCATGTGAGATGGTGACGTTTCNAAGAAGCCTTTCTGATTCGTCCAGGGATCCCACCTGAGCATTGAGGTCTCCGGCGACTACTACGACGTTCGTTGATCGAACACTTTGGAGTAATTGAGAAAGATCCCTGTAGGATTCATTCCGCCAAGCACCAGTTTCTCGCACAAGAAACGACATCGCCTTACATGGAGACCACCAACCTCTTCACAGCACTGAGCTCAAATCCATCACGTCGCCGTCAGCCACCGCTGGCAAGACTGCCGCTCCTATTAGTCAACACCCGTGGACACGGACCGTGCTCTGCTACGAGCGAGATTCTCCCTATGCCTTGTGAACAACCACAGAAAAGCCCTCGAAAGCGGATGCTCGCAATACATTATCAGCAGCGGTTGCGAATCGGCCTTCGAAGCGGAACTATCAGATCACCTCTGAGCTCAACCATCAGCCGGAAGACTCAGTGAACACTGGACGACAATCAAGGAAGCAATTTAAACGTCGGTAAAAACAACAGTTCGGTTCATTTCAGATTCCGGTGCACGATCAAATAGAAACGATGGATCTCCTCGACCTCGGTTGTCTTGCTGAACGCTCGGAAAGCCATTCATTCGGATTCAAAATACGACAAAGCACAAAACCCTTAAACGCCAGCTCATCAGGAGTCTGAGGAATGATCGCGAGAAGTGGTGGGTAGGAAAGTGTAGAGAGATGGAAAAACACCGTGGCTATCGGTAATATTTGCAATCTTTTCTGATTAATTAGGAGTGAAGTTCCAAGGAATGTAGGCGTGAGTGAGATAATTAAGGAGTCTGACGGCACACCTATTCATATTCAGCAAACCCGTCTTGAGCGTTGGACAGAACATTTTAAGGCACGGTTCAGCTGGCCTCCGTCCGTACAAGACCTCCTACCAGGTTCAACCGTGCAAATACTGCCAGTTGACATTAGTCCTCCATCTGAAATGGAGGTTACCCGAGAAATAAGCTATCTCCAAAGGTATAAGGCTTCCGGCCCCGACGGGCTGTCCCCATCGATTTTTAAGGATGGAGGTTCAGCCATGGTTTTAGAGTTAAGTAAACTCAGTGTGGGAAGGGAACAGGTTCCAACTGAATGGTGTGGATTGGTGATCATACCGATTTACAAGAAATGCGACAGGTCCTCCTGTGAAAACGACAGAAGAATTAGTTTAATCAACATTGTCTCTAAATTTCTCGCTGGTATTATACTCCGTCAGTTGTCTGCTGCAC